CCAAACACGCGCTCGAGAACGATATGACTTCACATGGACTTCCGTTGTTCCTCCCGATTTACGGCCATATTAATATATGTACAAACAAGCATAGGCCCTGTAGTAAAGCATTAAACTGGTCAGAAAAGAGCGGTTTACATATATAACTTCGATACTAAAATAAACTCTTTTGAAAAAACGGCATATCCTGTATCCGTCAATGGTATATGTATACCCAAGAATATAAACTCAAATAAATATCTGTTACATGATCGGAAAAAAGTAATCGACGTATCAGTTRGACTTTTACATTAGTACTAGTTGTGAAGAAGTATAAGTATACAACTAAAAGTCTAAGAATATAAGGACCTGGTGCCCTAAAATGTAAACTATTAGTAAACATCACAATCATCATGTATTTATGGTATTTTGAAGCAATAAATTCAAACCGCATGAATATTTTCCGCATCGTTATATATATTTCTACAAAAATATATGTATGTATAAACGTGAGTACGTACATAAACAAAGTAAAATCGCTTTAAATACCGATCGGCTATAAATTCTTATTTCTTTATTATGGTTAAGTCTTTACGACACGAGTGAATTTATTTTCATGAGTTCCAGTTAACTCATTTACTAAAGTAGTATCATCATATTGGTTTTCATATTGATAAAACTGAATCACTGCTTGATTAGTAATGACTAAAACTAAATATCGAAGACGAGATGCGACGAAGTCGCAAGGAATTTCGCCRCGCGAATATTTCAAATTAACAGGTTGCTTGCTAGCTTTAGCATAACTTTCATGTATATGTATATGTCTAGTATATGACTATGATACTCAAGAAAAAGTAGTAAGCGCATCCCCAATGGAAACGCACATTACTATTAGCAGCTAAGAGGCAAATCTCATAATTCCGATAATATGAKGATATGAACATGGATATATATCCCTTGGCTTCACGCCTACCTCCTATTGTGGACAGTGTGAGGATACTCACACCAACAGCTCCCTAACCAAGGTGGTGAAGCAGCCATGCTGATGGCTGAATGGCCATAACTAATCGCGAACGGTCACCTTCGATGCCCTAAGAGGTCAGAAATACTAAACGCCTTCTTTACAAATACCGGATTCTGCGGACGAGTAACCAACGTTTTTGGGCTAACTCGTGGGACCAAACCTGAATAATAGCAAATAAAACAACACAGAAACATAAATAAACCAACAAATTAAACTTCGAAAACCAACGCTTCGATAAGGATAACGACAAACATTAGGTAACGTTGAACTAAGCAGCTCATACAAGAACCGTTACCACAATGAGTCGCTGAATACCCGAGCTGAATATAACAGCAAACCATTTCATTGATTTTGGCCAGGGACAGTAGATATGAGTGGAGAGCTACGTCAGGTTGTTTGCTTGTCCTCTCTATAGCAGCCAGGCGAAAAAATCCTTCGGTGAATAAAGCTGAAAAAAAGTTTATTCGCTGAATGGATAAGTGGCAGCTTATTTTGTAGGAGACTTATTCAGTAGGAGGTACAGATCAAATCTGCTTCGATATTCGCAAGGCCAGATATTTCTAGGCGACAAAGCGGCTGTCAAGACGGCACGGAGGAAGAGGTCGTCGACAATACTGTCATCATCGACAAGAAGAAAATAGAATAGGCACGTTGGGATTTCTTCCATAATCCAGMAGAAGCTAAACGAACCTATGGTTCTAAGACTGGAAATGATATATAAGGCCAGTATTCGGCTATCATAAATTCCAAGAAGCTGGAAAAAAGTCACGCTATATTATAGTGCTGAAGACTTTAGATCCATAAGCCTAAAATCCTTCATGTTGAAGGTCCTAGAGATCCTGTTGGACATACACATCGCGTCAATCTTCGCGGATTTTTTGTCGACTTCACAAATAGCATACATTAAAGGTCGATCAACATAAACTATCCTAGACGAAGTAGTAAATGTAATAGAGGCGTCGTAACACCTCAAGCAATATATTTGCAACGGCTGCCTTTCTGAACATAGAAGGAGCCTTTAAGAACATAGAGATAAGCATGATAATTGAGTCTCTGATACAGCACGGCATAGCCGACATGGTTTGTAGATTTTTTCATTTATTACAGCATCACACGGTTCAGTGACATGAACAAGTTATGTAAGCTGAGGGTCTCCTCAAGGAGATGTCCTTTCCCTACTTCTATGTGTAGCGGCACTGGGCGTTATACTACTTCAACTTAACTGTCCCTTTCCACAATCAGTGAGATTATGCAAAGAGCCTTACGGAGGTTACACCAATGGGTCACGAATAATGGACTTGGTGTCAACTCTAGTATAGAGGGACTGATGATATTCACGAATAAAATGAAACTAATTCAATTTTMACTTTCCCTCACTCGGTAGTACTAAAATTTCTCTATTCCTCATAGCCAAGTATTTTGGTGTCGAGATTGATTTGGAAAATAAATATTGAGAAGCGTATTAGGAAAGCTTATATAGCTTATATAGAGTGCAAAAGGGTACTCAACGTGAACTGGGACATATGGAGCACTGGTAATTTAGAGGGCAGGGTAACCGGGGCCTTTAAGTCATGTCCATATGATGTGTTAAACTTTCTCTGCCTCAACTGCACAYAGACACTTTCATACGGAAAGTGGCAACACTTTCTGGTATAACAATTATAAAGATTGGTGGTTGGAAGAGGAGGAGTTATGGAAATCTACAACCAAACGCATAGGTTCAGAAAAAARTTATTCAGACTTACTGCTACCATGACGGGCACTGGCTATTTGGAGAAGGTGCATCAAAAATGGGTACGCCTGCAAACTCGAAGGAAGCAAAGAAACGATTCTTCACTTTCTTTGTAAGTGTCCAGCTATATCACAAATCAGACGTCGAAATTGTGGAATTCATCAGATACCAAAACTTGATCGTCTATCTACAAAAAGCATAACGRAGATAAGTAGCTTCATGGGGGGCAAGAATGGGATGTAATATCAAGATAAGGTCTTGCAATGGTGTATCAAAATGACACTGCCATGGCTAAATAAGCTCATGAAATAAGAATGTTGAGTGCGGCAATGTCATCTGRCTTTTGTTTAGTCATATGTTATTTAGGGAGTGTGATTTCATCCAATTTTCATTGTGTTAAGGGATTTTAGAAATATTTCTTCTCGGGAAATAGATTTAATCATTTGTGAGAACTGTACTTTAAGACTTTAAACCTATTAARCGGCGGGGATAAGCCCTCTTTTTAAATCTTTTAATCCACTGATGCCGCCCGATATTTTGAAACCCGGCTTCAAATGACAATTTTGAATTTCAATTTGCGGAATAACCCAAATATACTGACCCTATTTATCACACTTCCATCTATTAAACATTTAGTGATGAATTTTAATTTGTCAGATAGGAAATATACATATGTAACAAATAGGAACTAAAAGAATTTCGACTATATATGTAACTGCTTTTGAAGGCCAATGCCGTCACTTCAGAAGACTAATAAATAAGTTATTGATTTCCTGCGCTGCAATAATGCGTGATTTGTATTTACATATGCTTATGTACATATGTGTTACGGAAATTAAATTGCAAATGAAAAACTAAAGTACCTAAATGTACTTCCAACGCAACTACTCCGAATCAATAGATTCTCAGCGACGCCGTCGGCAAAGCGTAAATTATTTGYTTAGTTGCGAGTTAACGCCTAAATTTGCATTCAAATTCCACATATAATTGGAATTTTCGCCGCACATCAAATGTTAAAACGAATTCAGCACACATTACATCTCGCCCCTGCCTTTCCGGCGTGGCCATCAACAAATCGTTCATAATCATTCCGTCATTCCGTGCACGGAGGAGCACACCGCCGGTGGTGAGGTACTCGTGTGCACAGACTGGCAAGAGGGCGGTAGCTGCGCGAACGGTTCCCATTTATTCTGATTTAAATTGATTGAAATAAATCATGTACAACGACACGTGATTTAATTTTAGAATAAATCATTCAAATCTACTTTTTGCTTAGCATCGACTTTTATTCTCTGCACACGTACATGCATACACAAACATACATGTACCTATAAGCAAGTTCAAAAGTACATAGTATGCGTGTTTCTGTGATCCCACTCTGCCACATCATTGGGACGCGGCTGTTGATTTCGGCCAGACGATGGGCGCTATACTAAGTGATTTATTTGTACAGAATTCAAAATGTTTGGTGGGTAGGACGGCTTTACAAAAAGTGGTTCACCAACTTACCTACCTAAAATGTGATTGATAATTGATTCAAGCCCATTTTATGTACCACCGTTCATATAAGCAAATACGACCAGTATAAAAATTGTTAATATTTAGCACGAACTTTGCAATTTAATTTGGCGCMCTAAAGTTGCATGCCTTCCCTGCCGGATGTGCATAATTAGCGGCCAAAACGCATTTATTATACATTTACAATAAAAAAATAGTAATTTTCACAATATTCTGCTACAATTTTCACCCACAACGTAACCATTGGCMGATGCGTGGCGAATTACCCGCCCATGGCACCAAACCCCTCGCCATAAAGCTGTATTTACGCAATCGTTTTATTTGTATTTGCATAATTAATCACTTGAAAAGAGAAATTCACTCAAAATACTGGCGGGGAGCGGTGGCGTATACGCATCACCATAACGGTTTTTATAAATAGCAATATGCTCGTTGGYTTATTTGACAGTGCTGACGATGACAAGAATTTGTGCGCAATCCATCAAATATCGGCAGGGCTTAATTGGACCGACGCAACTACAATGTCCGCGAGCAGCAGCGACTAACAAACGAAAAACAAACAACAAATAACAAATCATTAACGGCAATTTGATTGCAAYGCCGATTGAGCTCTAATTGCCAACAATTTGCGTCAGAGGTCATTAGATTTCGTTCATGCGACGTCGCAAATTTATGAAAAAATAAGAATTGATMATAACGCAAGGCGGTGCAGTTGTTGTTGTGCACTTAAGTGGCCAAGAAACTAACCGAATTTGAACGGCTATTACCGTGGCACTGGGCTTCTGGAATACAATTAGGTCAGCAATCACTTTTTACTCGCGTAAAAGGCAACAAGTTCATTTCACATTCAAACTGATGTTTATTCTATTTGATTTTTACACTTTTTCACAAAATATTTTTGGCTTATTTTGATGAGTACACAGCCCCGAAATGCACGTTCAGGCACTGCACTGAGATTTCGAACTGAATGAATTCCCAAATTTAAAATTCAATGTCAATGGCAAGCCAAATGCACTGAGCATCCATGTTGGCATTCTCAGTTCACACAAGGATTTCTTGCTAATTATATTTGTTGTTATAGTTTTTCTATACTTATTTTCTTTATATTATATATAAGATATATGTATAATGTACTATATATGTGCATACATTATGTACMGAAGTGTGTCAAAGACACTTGTGAATACAACGACTTTTAAATTCACCATGTGACGAGGTGTCGCTATTTATGTGCTATTAAGTGCAYATTTGTTAGAACTACTTACATATATATTGAGTTTACATGCATTTGTATACATCCACTGCTCGTGTTCAACTATTCGCTGCTAGTGACCACTTACAAAGATCATAGCAAAGATGTTCGAATATAGCTGACGTAACGTTCGATTTAGCTCATAGTTTAATCTAAAATACCTCATACAAAGAATTATATGTGCATGATGTATTTTCTTGGTTAAAAAAGTACAAAAGCTGATATCGAAATTTTGGGTATGTAGTTTCATTTGCAGATAAAATTGACAAAATAAAAACATAAAGTCGTAACAATTTTCAAATATATGTAATAAGGAAGTTATATCAAAAATAGTCTTCGTACTACATTTTATATGTTGTGCATATTTGATTTTTATTTTTTGAATTTTATTAATGATTATGTATGTATATATTATATAGTATATAGGACATTAATTATCAATATTATTACCATTATGCAGTGTTACGAAATTAAGTAGGGATGGAATGGACTCCACCAAAGATTTAAGGTAGGCTGGATCAATATTGGTCCATTCTTGGTCTTTTGTTGTTTGGTCTTGGTTTTTGTTGTCTCAAACTGACTGCCGTTTTTGAACACTTTGTCAGAGACGATACCCCAGAGGATCTCAATCGGATTTAGGTCCGGACTTAAGGAGGACCAATTCAATACAGGTATTTTTCGCCCTGTAAAGATGGATTTGGTGACCKAAACTGTGTGTATTGTAGCATTTTCCTACTGAAAGCCCTGTCGATGCCATTTAAATTGCCACCAAACTCTACTAACTCACTATCCAGGACCCACATACATTTGAGTATTCATTAGGGTAGAGATGTAGCRCATATATGACATCCCCTATAGCAGAACGCAGCGCATACTATCCCACCGCCACCGCCAGGCCCTCGCTGAAAACATAATCCTCGATCCTGGCGCATGTCTCTCCAATATTTTTGCAACTATCAGGRCCATCTAGATTGAACCTCTTTTCATTACTGAAAACTACGTAATGCCATTCTTAGCATCAAAAACGGTACTTATGCYATGGAGGTATGTTTCAGTAACGGATTTTCATGAATTATTCGTACTATTCGAGTGCATATAAGCATATGTATCTGAACATTTTAAGAAAAAATTTTAATTTTAAGCTTAAATCGGCTGTTAGTGGCAGCAAAATCAATTTCCAACACGATATCTTAACGAGGTGTGTTCTAAAAGTATCTCGAATTTTGTGTTTTTTCAAAAATTATTTATTTATTCATGAATATCTATTTTGTCCCCTTCGAAGTAATCCCCATGAGATATTATACACTTGTGCCAACGGTTTTTCCATCCTCGAAGCACTTCAAAAAATCCTTTTTTTTTATCTTCTTTAGCTCCTCCTTCGATGCCGTCTTTATCTCGTCAAGAGAAGCGTAACGTCGTCCTTTCATGAGCCTGTTCAGTTTACGGAACAAGAAAAAGTCACAGGGGGCCAGATCTGGGGAACACGGTGGCTGCGGTATCATTTGTGTGTTGTTTTTGGCCAAAAAGTCGCACACAAGCAACGATATGTGAGCAGGGGCSTTATCGTGGTGCAAAAGCCCATTTTTGTCACATCTTCTCGGCCTTCTGAGAACATTTTGTACCACCAATAAACGTTGCTTCGGTCCAAGGTAGCTGCTCCGTATGCCACAGTCAACATTCGGAATGCATCCGCGCACTTAGTTTCGTTTTTCACACAAAATTTGATACATGTTCTTTGATCCATTTTTTTGAATAAGTAAAAATCGAAGAGGATCCAAAACACGTGCAAGCAAAGCAGCTGTCAACAATTAAATGA